GTCGGAAAGAGAAACTGCAGAATGGCTGGAAAAACTCCGTTTGGAACCGGAGGAAGCTAGATGGTCCAAAGGTGTGGGCAGACTGCCGGACTGGGGAGAGAATCCCCGGGGAGTGACGACTTCCAGACCCCGGAAAAGGGAGGCAGTGTGGATGCAACAGCAGAAGGAACGTCTCATGATAGATCAAGCCTTGCAGCTTATCCGTGATGTGGAAGAAAGCAGAAAAAACCGTGAGTCTTTTGAAACTCCTGTGGAAAAGGGGGAAGCAGACCCCAGGGGGGAGGCAGAAGAGACAGCCTGCGGGGGAGAGGAAGAGTTTGAGGAGGGAACATCCCAGGCTTCGGCAGCTCGAGGAAGAGATGCAGCCGGCCAGAGAACCCCAGCCCTGCAGGCCCCCCCCCGCAGACGTAAAAAGCCAAAAATCCCCCCCCTTCCTGGAAAGTTTGATGGAAATCCTAAAACCTTGGGATTTTTCCTGACCCAAGTGTGGAACCACATGCAGGATTGGGGGGAGGACTACGAAACAGAGGCGGCTAAAGTCAGAAGCGTTGCGAATGCCCTAGAGGGAGTGGCGGCTGAGTGGATGGTAGTTCTCCACAATAACAACTCCCTCCTGCTGAGAAATTACAACCAGTTCATGAGGGCCCTTAGAAGACGTTTTGAAGACCATTTAGCTGAACGAAAGGCGAGACTCAGAATGAAGAGCATTCAGCAGGGCCGGAGGCCGGTGGCAGAGTATATCCAAGAGTTTCGTGAACTGGCACCTTATATGACAGGCTGGTCAGAAATGGCGCTTTTGGAGAGTTTCAAGGATGGATTGAATGATGAGATATATCGAGATTGCAGGAGCATGGGGGTCCCCGATGATTTGGATAGATGGTACATAGTAGCTGAGGATGTGGAGATCGAGCTGAAACGGAGCGAACTCCGAGGAAGGCGGATGGGGGACCAGTCATCCTCTCTCTACCGTAAGGGGGCGGCCAAGATGACTGGTGGGAAGACCGAATTCAAACCCAAGTCAAAGCCCTTCACCTGTTTCAAATGTGGGAAGGAGGGTCACCGGGCGGCCGAATGTTTCTCCAAACCACCGCCAAAAGCCACCGGGGCCAGCCAAAAGAAAAGCGATAAAATACCCGCCAAAACCCGCGGCACCGCCCTGAAAGGAGAAGTCGTTGAGTTCACTCCCCGGAACCAGCGTGAGTTGGGAACTCCGACCAACGATGACGACAGCGAGACAGACTCCGACTCGGACACCGATGAACGGGTGAGTCACACGGAAGAACCCTTACTCATCCCCGTAGAAGTAAGGGTGCCCTCCACAGGAACTCACGCGCAATTGTTAGCCCTGTTGGACTCGGGGTGCACTAGGTGCATAATTAGCCCCAAAGTAGTGGAGGAAATGGGACTGAGACTGAAAACGTTAAAAAGACCCATTGCATTTTGTCAATTAGATGGGTCGATTGCAGGGGGGGGCCCAGCTAGTTTTATGACCGAACCCCTCGAACTACACTTGGGGAATCACATAGAAAAGCTCAGCTTTATTGTAGCCCCTGGCATGGAAAGGCCCCTAATTCTAGGACTGCCCTGGCTTCGAAAATGGAACCCACGAGTAAATTGGAAAACGGGGGTCCTGCGCATCCGTACGGCAGAACCACCTCCGGAAAAGGAAGGCCCCTCCCTAAGGGACGACATAAGACCAGAAGGGGCCGCAGTAGCCATTAACTATATTGAGGGAGAAGAGAAAATTCCGAAGGAATATTGGGACCTCAAGGAAGTGTTTAGTGAAAAAGCTTCTGATAATCTGCCTCCCCACAGGGCCACTGACTGCACCATTGAAATACTCCCAGGGGTGAAGCTTCCCAAACCAAAAATATACCCCATGACACCTCGAGAATTGGAGGAATTGCGAAATTTTATTGACAAAAACTTAGAACGGGGATTTATCGAACGAGCCAAACCCAAGGTAGCAGCGCCAGTAATGTTCCGCGAAAAGAAAGATGGATCCTTCAGATTAGTTGTTGATTATAGAAACATGAACCCCATTTGCGTGGAAAATGTCTATCCCCTCCCACTTATGAAGGACATGTTGGCCCATTTAGGAAAGGGAAAAATTTTTAAACTTGATTTAAGAGAGGCATACTACCGAGTGAGAATAAAAGAGGGAGATGAATGGAAGACAGCATTTAATTGCCCACTGGGGTGTTTCCAATTTAGAGTACTCCCTTTTGGACTACAGGGGGCCCCGGCCGTATTCATGCAGTTGATCAACGAAGTGTTGCATGAGCATCTATATAAGGGGGTGTTGGTCTATTTGGACGATATTCTAATTTATTCTGACAACATGGCCGACCATATAAGATTGGTTCGAGCGGTCTTGAATAAACTCAGAGCAGCTGAACTCTATGCCAAACTTTCTAAATGTGAATTCCATCAAGACAAAATCGACTATCTTGGATATCGTATATCGCATGAGGGAATAGAGATGGACCCGGAAAAGGTCCGGGCAGTAATGGAATGGGCCGCACCGCGCACCCGTAAACAGTTACAGAGTTTCTTAGGGTTTGCTAACTTTTATAGACAATTTATCCCCTCTTTCGCAAAAATCGCACTGCCAATTACAAACTTGCTCAAAACAAAAGGGGAAATAAAACCCAAACCCTCGAAACCACTAGAATGGACTATGGACTGTCAGGCCGCTTTCGAAAAACTGAAACGGCTGTTTGCAGCTGAACCTGTGCTCAAACACCCCGACATAGAACAACCTTTTGTAATACAAGCGGATGCTAGCGACGTTGCCGTAGGAGCGATACTCTTGCAAAAGAATGAGAATGGAATATTACAACCCTGTGCTTACACATCCCGTAAACTATCTGAAACAGAAAGGAGATGGGCCATATGGGAGAAGGAAGCGTTTGCAGTTAGATGGGCGCTGTTAACATGGAGACAATTTTTGGAGGGGGCAAAACATCCTTTCGAGGTGTGGACTGACCATAAGAATCTAGAAGCATTAAAAACACCACACAAATTGTCACCCAAACAGGCACGCTGGGCCCAACATTTCAAGCGTTTCAATTTCACTTTACGTTACCTTCCTGGGGGAAAAAATTTCATGGCAGACGCACTTTCCAGATTGCCACAGTACAACAGCATAAAGAAGGAACTGGTTCAACCAATGATCCCCTTAACGCAATTGGCAACACCCGTCACTACCAGAGCGCAGAGTAAAACCGATCCAGAACTCTCAGGGGATTTACTCGAAAAGTTACGAGAAGCACTAAAAGTTGACGAGTGGTTTAAACTCCACTCGAATGAATGCACACTTCGCGATGGACTAGCTTGGGTTGGATCGAAATTGTATGTTCCGTCCACATTAAGACCAACCGTATTGAAATATGCGCATGATGCCAAAGCCGCAGGACACTTTGCGTTTGTCAAAACTTTACATCTTGTTAAGAGACAGTTTTGGTGGCCTGCACTAAAAAAGGACATACAGACATATGTGGCTAGCTGTCCAGTATGTGCCTCGGCTAAAAGACCTCCAGGAAAATCCCCTGGATTACTGCAAAGTGTGGCTAGACCGAACGCCCCATGGAAGGAAATATCTATGGATTTTGTGGTGGACTTACCCGACAGTGAGGGCTGCACTGTCATTTGGGTAGTAACTGATTTGTTTTCTAAACAAGTACATTTCATACCTTGCTCAAAGATCTTTCCTGGATACTGAAGGAAGCATACCTGACATTTATATTAATTATAGGATAATTATAAACATTGGAGGTTGAAAAGTGATTGCTTAAGAAAAAAGGGACACCATAGAGCAACCAGCTACAGAATTCTCCTTTCCTTAATAAAAATGTATTTCTCATAGTTTGAGTAAACATTATGAATGGTGATTCTAAGAAAACAAAAGTAGCTTTCAAACTTTGTTATCACAGCAGTTGTTTAATATGAAATTTGATTTTTTTTAAATAAATGGTGTCAGTTGGTCTTTTTTATGAAAAGAAAGAAGGATATTTTAGAGGAAATATTTACTTCAATAAATCAATACAAGTAATTTAACATTTTTCAAATATCAAATATTGAAAAGCAAATGGCTAAACCTGTAAGGAAGGAAGGCAGATGACCTTGTAGGAAGTATTGCCAAAGCAAAAGGGGATGAAGTCCAGAACAAAGAGATAAAATTAGTTTGGAAGCAGCTCGGACAGAAACCTGCCTAATTCACTGAAGATGGAGGAAGGGGAGGTACAGCACAATCAAACTTTCAGAATTTCATTACTATAGCCAATCTAAATGAAATCAATGTTAGCCTTCATGTGGAGTTGAATTCCTGGTCTGGTCTGCCTAGTGGGGCTGACAATATGTTATCTTGGTCTCCAGAAGGAAAAGCAGGACATAAATCTGATACATAAATAATGCTACATTTTTAATGTTTTATGAAAATGCAGTTACAGATTGGAGAAGCTTGGCATGCAAGATATCCATTGTTTTTAAGAAAAGGCTGGTTTTTTTTTAAGTTTGGTAATGGCAAAAAATATATGCAAATTTTCCAAGTGGGTGAACATTTGATTTAAAAGGTTTTAACTGTGTATTTGTCCATAAATATGACCCCAGTGCTGCCATGAGGAAAAGAAAGGCACTTGTGAGGAAAGTTGCAAGCCCCTTCTTTTCCCATCACATTTCTGACGTCAGCCAATCTTCTGGAGAGGCACAGGGCGGGATAGGAAAGCAGTTCCCTCATGAGGTCTTCTGCTGCTGTTACCAAGTGATGAATACAGTGCCAAAGTGGTGGGATTGCAGTAATGGTGCTGTAATGATCCGTTGACCATGCTTATTCAGAGAAGTGTGCCTCCAGCTGTGTTCACATTCATCTTAAGGTCTCTAGACATAAAAAGTGATACATTGTGTTTTATTCAAGCACCTGTGGAGTGTAACACACTTTTAGATCTGATGTTCCTATTGAAACTGCCTGTAATCACTGCTAATGCATGGTTGTTTCCTAGGTGAATGGAAAAGGTTCATTGTGGTGTGTGGATCCAGAATATAAACCAAACCTTGTACAGGCTCTGAAGAAGCAACCATTTCCTTCTGCGTTTGCATTTTATACCCCACCAGCATCACCACTAAGGTAGGATTTCTTTTCCCAAGCAATACAACCTTGGAAGAAAAGGTTTTCCAGATAATATTACTAAAGAGAAGACGGGACAGTTTGTATTTTGACAACACTGTGATGGAAAGCTGTTTTTCTATATCTTTTTTTTTCTTTTTGAAAGTTGGAGAACAGCTCGTATTCAATGGCAGATCCCATATTTTGTAGGCAGAAATGCTTTCCATGTCCAGAGAAGAGATCCTGCATTCCCTGTCCCCAAATGCATTGAGAGTGCTTTCCACTCCCCCCAAATCAGCAGGCCTCAGTCACAGAATACAGGAGACCAGCACTGAACAAGGCAGTTTTATATTTTCATCTCAATAGCCTGCCTCTTATCATAGTTACTAGGATTTTGATACTAGGATTAAAAAAAGGAATGTAATTGTTTGTGAAATCAGAGAGATGTACAGGACTCAGTATAAGCCAGGTAATGAAGCTTCTTGTTAATACGTTGAGGCCATTAACCCTCCCAGGTTTGCATATTATGAACTAATTCCACAGTTCTCATATATTTTCTGGTTAGGCCTGCTTAGGAGTATAAGTATTCAGAAAAATAATTGTTTGATATAACTTTTGTGTTGCATAGTTCATTTTGGAAGAGGCAATATCAGGAGAGAGATTTGGGACATGACCCAAATCTTAATGTACCATATGAGCCTGAAAGACCTTGTGGAGAAGAGGACAGAGCTACCGTATTTTTCACACTATAAGACACAACTAAATTTAGAAGAGGAAAACAACAACAAGAAGTTTTTGGCCTCTGCGCGCCCCATTTTTGGCCCTTTTCCAGCCTTTTTTTGGCCTGTTTCCAGCCCATTTTTGAGGATTTTTTTTGGCCCATTTTCGAGGCTTTTTTGACCAGTTTTTTTCCAAAAAGCCCGGGCTGAATAAAGTCTCAAAAACGGGCCAAAAAAAGCCTTGAATAAGGGCTGAAAAATGCCCCAAAACAGGCTGAAAAAAGCCTTGAATAAGGGCTGAAAAAAGCCTCCAAAACAGGCCAAAAAAAGCCCCCAAAATGGGGCGTGCAAAGGCCAAAAAACGGCCAGCAGGTGGGCGGGGCTTCTGCAATATTCTGTCACAGACATTTTCACTCCCTTTTGGGAGACAAAAAAGTATACCTTATAGTCTGAAAAATACGGTCCTTTTGCTCCTGGGTCTCTGCCCTGACTACCCCTGAGATGTACCAAGCACCTGCAAGCACGAAGAGACTTTGCAGCTTCTCTCAAGGCCATGATGACTTGTAATGTGGCAATAACCTGAGAGAGAAAAGCTCTTTTTCACATGAAATTACAACTGAATAAAAGAATTGAAAGAAAATACAGTTTAAAAATAGACACTAATGCATAAGACCTTTTAAAGAAAAAAAATCTAAAAATGATGAAATTTCTGAAGAAGTGTTAAGGGTGAGATGAATTTTTTTGAAGCACAGGTCTGTGAAATTGAAATTCAGACTTATATTCATGCCTAGCAATAACTGGGGAAAAAAGATGTATGAATTCTGTTTTCTGTTCTTTGGAGCATTGTACATTCAGGGAGGCACAAAAATAAAATCTCTGGTATATCACTGTTATTTAGAGTTTTTTTTCTACTTTCCAACTTGGCTATCGCCAAAAGTGCATGTTTGTTACAGTATTAGATTGTCTTATCTTGCATTCTTTGTTTTGTGCTATATCAAGCCTTGAAAATAGGTCCCTGAGCTTTTAAATATAGAATGTTGTTTAAAAATTAATACCATTGATATTTATTTTGCTGTCAATGTATTTTTTAAGGTGGCTGCAAGAACATTGAAATACAGTAACAGACTTAGTATGGTAAAATATATGAAAACAATAGATAAAAAAAATAAACTGGTATAAAAATTGGGCCAATTAGGAAGTGAAATGAGTAATTTAAAAAGCAATTTAGAAAAACTTGCAGAAGACAATTCAAAAGAGTCATAGGTCTATTAACAGAATAGCAATAGCACTTATATACTTCTTCATAGTGCTTTACAGCCCTTTATAAGTGGTTTACAGAGTCAGCATATTGCCCCCAACAATTTGGGTCCTCATTTTACCAACCTTGGAAGGATGGAAAGCTGACTCAACCTTGAGCCGCTCAGAATCAAACTCCTGGAGTGAACAGTGAGTTAGCCTGGTCAGTATAGACTTGAGATGAACCCTGCCCTAACTTTCCAAAGATAGTGCCAGCTTTTGGGAAATGCTAGAACGGTGATGGTGAATCTATGGCATGCGTGCCAGAGGTGGCACGCAGAGCCTTCTCTGTGGGCACGCATGCCGTCACCAGCTGCTCTTTTGGTTTCCAGCGCGTATGGTCTTCGCGGGTGCTAGAGCGCTGGAAAACGGCCTGAAAACGGCTCAAAAAGCACCCAAAAAATAGGACATGCGCCGGAGCATCGGAAATCCGAAGACCAGTTGGCCAGTGTGTGCATGCCTGTTTTTTGGCCATTCTTCAGGCCGTTTTCCGGCTGTTTTCTGGCTGTTTTCGGGGCGTTTTTTGGAAAAAAGAACTGCTTTATGATTTAGAAAGGCTTTGAAAATTGTTAAGGCATTTTAAAGTATGGCCTGCTCCTGAGGTAAGTGCATCACTGCAGGAAGAACAAGCTGTTCCTAGACCCTCTTCCAAAAATAGTCTTGATGAACAGGTAGTCTTTGATTTACAACAGTTCATTTAGTAACTGTTTGAAGTTACAACAGCACTGAAAAAAGTGAATTACAACTGTTTTTCACACGACCATTGCAGCATCCCATGGTCATGTGATCAAAATTCAGATGCTTGGCAACTGACTCGGATTTATGACGGTTGCAGTGTCCCAGGGTCAAGTCATCACCTTTTGTGACCTTCTGACAAGCAAAGTCAATGGGGAAGCCAGATTCACTTAACCATGTTACTAACTTAACAACTGCAGCAATTCACTTAACAACTGTGGCAAGAAACGTTGTAAAATGGGCAAAACACACTTCACAACTGTCTCACTTAGAAACAGGAATTTTGGGCTCAATTGTAGTAGTAAGTTGAGGACTATCTGTAGTAGAAATTCTTGCCAGAAAGGCCTTTCTTAAAAGATGCTCATTACAGACTTAATATTTATTGCTTTAAGAAAGTTGTCTTGGGGTAGAATAATGTCCTTCCCCTTTAAATGTATGAAGAAATTTTTTAATACATATAGTCCTCCACTTACAAAGTTCATTTAGTGACCGTTTGAAGTTACAACAGCACTGAGAAAAGTAACTTATGATCCTTTTTCGCACTTACAATTATTGCAGCAACCCCATGGTCGTGTGATCAAAATTGAGACACTTGGCAAATGACTTGGCATATTTATGATGGTTGCAGTGTTCCCAGGTCATGTGATCACCTTTGCAACCTTCTGAAAAGCAAAACCAATGGGGAAAACTAGATTCACTTAACAACTGTGTTACTAACTTAACACCTACTGTGATTCACTTAACAACTGAGTCTTCGGAGATGGGCGGCATACAAATTGAATAAATAAATAAACTGAGGCAAGAAAAGTTGCAAAATGGAGCAAAACTCACTTAACAAATGTCTCAGCAATAGAAATGTTTGGCTCAATTGTGGTCATAAGTTGATGACAACCTGTATTCGCCTTTCAGCAGTACAAAACATCATCTACTTCTGGACAAAAGTTTCAAGCTTTGTGCCAGACAGTAATGTGTGACCTGGAATAAAATCTGAGACAAGATGCAGCAAAAGGCTACGAGATCTTTAGAAAGCAATAGCAAGAAAGTAGTTCAGAAGACCTGTTAGTAGCTTGTATAAAAACTGCATAATTCAGCATAATCTATTTTGGTGGGCAGATAACTTTCTATGACTTTAGGCAAATATATATTTAGATAACCTTCTGTAAGGTTTTAAATTGAAAATGCCTACTCTGGTCCATTATTTAGGTATAAGACATGACCAATAAAAATAAGGACGGATCATATATTTTTAAAAAATTTATGTACCATATTTGAAATGAATAGAAAACTGGCATCTGTCTCTAATATGGTAGTTGGTTTAGAAATCAATTTGGTATGGTTCATTTGAGGATCCATTTGGAAATTCCTGGAGTTTGTTATATATATTTAATTATGTGTATTGAAATCATAATAGCTGAAAATATGATTGGCTCATGTTAATTTTGTCTTCCGTAGCATAGACTCTGAATTTTGAGATTCTTTTTCCTCTCTTCCAGTGGTTCATCATCTCCTTGCTATTTAACCTCAGTTCGGAAACAGTGTCAGGGACGATCTATCAAAGGTAAGCATTTTTTCTGTTGCCCCTTTGTTTAAAAGTCTGAATCAGTCAGTTCTTCAAGGTAGGCAGATAGGAAACAGATTCCATAACTCTGACTGGAACTGCACTTTATTGATATAAGGGGAACTTGATCACATGAGAAGAAGGAAGAATTTGAACTCAAAACTTGTTCATTTATTTATTTATTGGTTCGATTTATATGCCACCCTTTTCCGGAGACTCAGGGAGGCTTACAATGCGTTAAGCAACAGCCTTCATACCAGGGGTGAAATCTAAAAATTTTTGCTACTGGTTCTGTGGGCGTGGGTTAATTAGTGGGCGGGGCTTGGTGGTAAGGTGATTGGGTGGGCATGGCCAAGTCAATGTCACTTCTTTGCCCTTTTTTAACCTACAAAACACAACACAACACAACTGGCTCACCCACAATGTAAAAGCAGCTGTGCTAGACCCAAAATGGCCCCGCAACAAGCAGGAACCTCACACAGCCACAAAAAGCCCCCCAAAACAACTTTCATACTTTACACACACACAACACAACACAACTGGCTCACCCACAATGTAAAAGCAGCTGTGCTAGACCCAAAATGGCCCCTGCAATAAGCGGGAACCTCACACAGCCACAAAAAGCCCAAAAAACCAACTTTCACACTTTAAACACACAAAATTTCACATACAGCTTTGTGAGATTTTGTGTAGTTAAAGTGAAACACTATAGAAACACACAAAATCTCAGAAAGCTGCACAAATATTATTTTATTTTAATTTATTTTTATATAAAAGCAGCTAAATTTAAAACTTCCTAAACTTTAAATGGCTAGGTCTAAAAAAATTAACCAATTAACTATTTTTTTTAAAGCTCCCAAAGGGGGAAAAGACTTACCCAATAGAACAGGGGTCTCCAACCTTGGCAACTTTAAGACTTGTGGACTTCAACTCCCAGAATTCCTCAGCCAGCTTTGCTGGGAGTTGAAGTCCACAAGTCTTAAAGTTGCAGATAGAGCTGCTCACCAATGAGCTTGATTGCAGGTAGGGAGATTCAGTTGCTTGCTGATGCAATGGATTGCAGGTATTACAGCGTTGCGACCAGCAGCAGTAAGCAGTAAGCAGGGTGGGGGGGGGAAAGAAACTTTTTTTCTTTTACATGGCTCTGGCGATCCAAGCTGAGTTGCCTGATTAGCAGGCAACTCAGCTGGGATCATCAGAGCTTGGCTCGTCAGAGCCATTTAAAAGGAAAAAAAAGGCTCTGATGATTGCACGGCTCAGCTGGGCATGGGGGGCGGGGGCAGGGATTTTTGCTACCGGTTCTCCGAACTGCCCGCCGTCATCGCTACCTACTCGCCTGAGCCGGTCCGAACCAGGAGCATTTCACCCCTGCTTCATACTTTTGTATATACCTGCTTAGTAGGGCTTTCGCGCCCCCCCCCCCAAGCGGTGTCCTTTTTTATACAAAGTCAGCTTATTGCCCCCACAAACCGGGTCCTCATTTTACCTACCTCGAAAGGATGGAAGGCTGAGTCAACCTTGAGCCTGGTGAGATTTGGACTTGCAGTAATTGCAGGCAGCTGGCGTTACTTAACAGTGCTTTAGTCTGCTGCGCCAAGACATCATCGTTCATAGTTGCAAAGCAAGACTTTGGTCACAGCATTTGTACCGATAAGAAATGGGAAAACTAAGAATACTAAGATTGGAAACTTTCGTTTGAATTTTCAATAGTGGTTTGCCTGTATTATTTGAACTACCTGGGTTGCTTCAGAAGTATGGCTAGTTTTTGTTGCCTTAGATCACTGTGTGAGAATAACATCCTGCAGTGAGAAGAAGTCTAGTAGCAGTTAAACAAAGCAATCAACAAATGGAAACTGCCTCATCTTGATATGAAATCGGCCTTTGCAGTGAAAAAGCATGAGAAAAGAAACCCAGAACTGCCATTTTAAATGTGCTATATAGGGATTTCTTATTTGACAGCAGATTAATTGCTGAGGGTTTGGTTATATTAATCATTTTCTGATAAAGATTACTAATCAAAGTTCTAAGAGCAGGGGTCCTCAAACTTTTTAAATGGGGGGCCAATTCATGATCCCTCAGACTCTTGGGGGGGTCGGACCAGCTGGGTGGGTGTGGCTAGGTGGTCATGTGACTGGGTGGGCGTGGCTAGGTCATGTGACTAGGTGGGCATGGTCAATTTAACAATCCATTAAACAATGCACACAAATTAAACTTTAATTTGTTTTGCTCCTGGAGGTGTTTTAATTGCTTTTGTTTGCATGTTGCTCTTTTGGTTGACTTTTCTTTTTACTAGATTGTTTTTTCAGTTGTTTAGGAGTCTAGTGGTCCACTTCAGGAAACTCAGTTTTGCAGCAATTCTTCTCAGCCCTAAGGAGCTTACAATCAACAAGTCTCTTTCTCTCTCTGTCTCCCCCCCTCTCTCTTGTCTGTCTCTCTGTCTCTCTTTCTCTGTCTATCTTCTGGAGGCCAAACATGGGCTAAAACGGCCTGTTTTTTGGCCTCCCCCATCTCCAGAACATCTCTGCAGATTAAAAACGGGCTAAAACGGCCTGTTTTTTGGCCTCCTGGGGTTTCTGCGCCCCCTGTTTTTCACCTCCCCTGCCTCCAGAATGTCTCTGCAGGCCAAAAATGTTGGCCTTACCTTCCAGTTCTAGCCCACGGGGCTCGCGAAGGTAAGTCCTGCATCCAGCCGAACGGTAGGCGGGGCGATGTGGGCAGGGCAGCCTTGTGGTTCTGTGCGGACTGAATTAATGGCTTGAGGAGTTTGAGGACCGTTGCTCTAAGAGTCTTGTTCTTTGGATAATTGTTTCGGATCGAAATTTCTAGGAACGAATTCCGACTGGTTATTCTGTGATAATCATACTGTTCCAGGTCAAACTTAATTGAGTTAATTGACATGGGGTGCTTTTTTCTTTTTCTGATTTTCAGATTCAGATATCGATGCTGCTACTGCCATGATGCTCTTGAATACTTCCATTGAACAAGACATTTTAGATTGTAAGTACGGTAAATCTGTCTTCTTTTCAAAGAATATTGTTTTATAAAATTTATTTTAACTATACATTTTTAAAACTATGTCTGAGCTTAAGCAATTGATAGTTTGATAGGTAAAGCCATGTTTTAGAGTTGCTATGTTGTTTAAAGATGTAAAATCTCCCTCACATTTTCTTTGACTCCTAGTATAGACATATCCATGAAGCTTTCTTGGCAATTATACAGAAGATTTTTCCAAAAACACCTTGTCATGTGTTTTTCAACTTCTCAGATTACTTAGAGCGCTAGTAATTTCACCCATATGTGATCCTGACCTTGAAATCAACTAAAATCATTTGAAAAAGGGCAACTAAAACAATTCTGGGATTGTTTAAAGGAAACTGGATGGAAGTCATGTATCATTTTCTGAACAAGGGGATGGAGAAAATTTAAAGCATCTTTTGTTACACCAGTTACAGCTTTGATATTACTATTTTTACTGGTAGCGGAAGAAGTGTTTTCTTCCCCCTCCTTTTCTTTTTTCATAACCCAGAACTCAGGATCATCCACTGAAAGTAATAGGCAGGAGATTCCTGGAAACTGAAAGCCCTTCTCACATAGTTGTATTACCTTATGGAATTAGGAGCCACAAGGTATGCAAAGTCCATTACCTTTGATAAGTTCAGAGGGGAGTTAGAAACATTCATGGAGAACTGTTCTGTTAACAGCATGCTTGTGGAGATAGTAGGCCTCCAAATTTCAGTTGAAGGCAGTATTGGCATAGATAGCTATTGCCCTTATCGTCAGTTTTCCCAGGGCATCGGGTTGCTTTCTGGGAATCGGGATGTTGGATTACATGCCTCTGTTGCAGGTGTGGGCAACATGGCCTATGGTATAATTTAATGCACTCTTTATTTTACAGGTAGTCCTCAACTTACCATTTGTTTAACAATGATTAAAAGTTACAAAGGCCTTGGGAAAAAAGTGAGTTACGATCTGTACTCACACTTATGGCTGTTGCACCACCCTATGATCATGTGAATGCAATTCAGGTGCTTGGCAATCGGCTCACAGATGGTTGCACTTTCCTAAGGCCATGATTTGCAACCTTTTGCTAATTTCTGGCAATAAACACCTATTGGGGAAGCTGGATTTGCTTAATGACCACCATAAAAATTGTCATAAAGTCAGATCCAACTTGACTTATGACTGCAGTGACTTAATGACAGAAAGTCCAGTGTCTAGTTGTGGTTGTAAGTTGACGATTACCTATATTTCAGAATATCTGCAAGAGATTCATTTACACTACCAATAAAGTTTTACAGTATTTCCATGCAATCTATTGATTGGAAGAGTGATGTGCGTGCATGTGTGTAAAATTTCTGTTGTGGCCTGTCGGCCGCCAGCCCTTCCAGCAGCTGAATCAGAGGAGGAAGAGGAGGCGTAGGAGTCAGGTCAGCATCAAAGACACCTGGGAACTCTGAGGGGGAAGAGGGAACGGAACTGGCAGAGAGAGAGACAGAGGTGGAGCCTGGGCCGTCCATCAGCTCTCAGTCAACAGCCCCCAGCTCTGGAAGTGCCTGATGAGGAAGAGGAGGAACAGCTGGGTCCAGTGCCTGACGCGCAGATGTGCAGAAGGCAGAGGAGAGCAGTGGGCCAATCCTTGGGAAGGAAGAGCCACTGCTGCTAGTGAAGCCCCACCCTACCTCTGGGGATAAAAGGCAGGGGGCGGAGATGAATAGATGTGGCAGACAACCATTCATCTCTTGGCTGGACGGACTTGTTAGCCTGCGGTGAGAGAGAAACTTTTTGCTGCGGTTGCTGGCGCTCCTAATAGAGGAATCTTTGAGTTAACTTCAGAGGGTTTGTCGTATTTGGGGAGCAAGGTCAAAACAATTTAAAGAGGAAGGGATTAAGACTCTTATCCATTTACAGTTAAAGCTTTGGTCTCAATCAGCACATTACCCCCCAAATATTGTCCCTGATAAGATGTTGCTAGAGAAAGATGGTTGCCCAGCTCTCGACTGGGTCTGTTCTTAAAGATTACATTCATGTCTAGGAAGTCACTTGCTTCCAGCAGAATTATTAATACTATGATTAGGTTCAATTTTCAAATAAAGTGGTAGTGGAACGTGTGAAAATTCATTGAGCATTGAGGAAGGGGATGAGGGAGTTGGGATGGTAAAATATTCAGTCAATGTCCTGGAAACCAGAAAAAGAGGAGCAGAAAATGGAAGGGGGAAAGAAAAGAAGGTGTGTGATGAAGGAGAGAGGGAGATCAATCAAATAACATAGCAACATATTCCCTACCTGATGCTGTCCATAAATTGAACTTCAATTTCCATAACCCTTCAGGCGACAGAACTGTTATATATGCTGTCTGGGGAAGTAGAAGTCTAACACCCTTAGAGAATACTTTGTTGATTTACATAATGAAAAATATTCCAGAAATGAATGATCTAAAATTTCAGCTAAGAAATAAACACAGGGAAAGAAAGGATCTCATTCCTATTCTTGAGCTGGGTTTTAATTGAATCCCTTCCTGATGCTTTAAACATGGAAACATGTTTATTGGACTCATTGCCACCCTTGAGTTTTCAGAAGATTTTTGTTTTCTCTTAGGTGAAAAGCCACCATCCCTCAAGCTCTCCAAGAAAAGGAAATATGGTAGCACGTTCCATAACCACACCCAGGAAGAGAGTGATCCAGCAGTCCCTAACATTGACCCCAAGGAGGACCACAATTACAGTGCCAGCAGTGTGGCTGCACAGCGTTGTGCATCGCTCTCTAGCATGTCTTCCCTGTCCTCTGTCGATGATGTATACAAATTTGTCTCAGAGGCCACCCGGACAGGGAGTGACGGCAGTGAAGGATTTCAGAGTGAAGTGGACACAGATGACAACGAAGATGATGATGATTCTCTGGCAGACAGTGGTTATACCTCACAGCCATGTGTCAGTATCACAGATGAGGCCCAGCCTCATCAGAAGGTCCTGGAGGAACTCTGCCAAGAAATTGATGACGAACTCAAAGAGGCGGCTGGGTCTCTTCTTCATCTTGCTGGGATCAGCACTTGTCTTGGCTCACTAATAAGTACTGCAAAGAGCCATGCCCAGAAGAGAAGGAAAAAAAATGACAACACAGTGTGAAGATAATTGATCTATCTATCTATATCTATATCTATATACATGTTTTATTTTTTAGGCTGGCAATATTCCTCCTTTTACCCTTTGCAAGGGAGATCAAAGCCATAAAAGGACTTTTTGTTTGTTCTTAATTTTTGCAGATTATAATTTTGCCATTTATAAAATTTTGTTTTTATTTTTAATTATAAGAGCAATTAATTTGTGCTTTGAAGGGCCAATGGAAATTGTGTGAAACAGATGAGGAAGTCTCAATAATTGTAAGGAAATGGAATATTCATTATTATCATTGGAATGATTGATTCACATGGATATCATTGTCATAAGCATGTGACATGTAGGGTCCAACAGATAATTGGAGGAATAAATTGTCCTATGCACAAGGGATTCTTTAAAAAATATGTATATTGTGGAGAAGAGAATTGCTTGCCATTTCCCAATATGCCTTTTCAGTTTCTAGGCCTACCAGGTTTTTGTATGTTGTACTTTAAAAGAAGAGGCTAGATGCAAAGAGTTTGATCACACTAAGGAAAAATCTCTGTCTTTCTAGTTCTGTTGATTAGATACTGAGTGAATGAAATATATTTCATTTATGCAAAATAGGCATAAATTATATGATTTTTAGCCCTCAGAATGGGGTGATAAAAATTAAGCAAACAACACATATATATATCTAATTCCCAGTTTGTGCTCAGTATGTATGAATCTGGTAGTCCTAAAGGTGTAGAGGCCCATCTGAAATCGGGCAACTAAGCAGGTAATGTTCCCATTTTTCACTGCTTATGGGGTCCACAGTGTCTCCATTTTTTTAGCGATATAGAATGCAGAACAAGACACATAAAGACATGTTTTTATAGCCTTCAGCTTTAGCTTCCATTGTTAACTGATTTCCTCAACTTACAAGCCAAGGGTCTGTGATTACATGAATGGTATAAAACTGCCATGATAATCAGTTGCAGGTTGACTGGTGTTTGCAATTATAAAATTGATAGGTAGGGGAGAGATACAACATGTGAATCTTCCTATTTTTGAGAGTGGGATCTTGAATGGGTAATTAGAATTTTCTTCCTATTTTTAACACAAGGTAAGGAGCTGGTTCTTTCTCTTGTGTTTGTGTTAATTGTAATTATTATATATTGGATCAATGGTGTATACATCTGTTTGCAAATCCGAGGCCCTTCTTTCTGTCTTGATATCTAAATTATGTGCAAATGAGTGACTGCTCAATTGCAAATGACCATTGCACAGAGAACTTTAATTTTGTTTAGGTTAAGGTAGTTGATACTTGACTAGTTCTTCATATGCTAAGAGTTGTTTTGGGGGCTCTAGCACATCACCTTGCAGATCATAATGGAATTATATTCCATATGCAACAGAAATAAGTGCATTGAAAAGTCATTGTTGGCTGAACAATTCTAGACTAATCTTCTCCCTGATTCTTTATGAGTAAAGCTTTTAAAAATTATAATGGGATGATCATGAGAGATTCTTCTTCTTTTTTGCAGCAGTATAGTTCAGCTGTGTTATCACCTGTGTGAGAACAAGGGCTTTCAGTGGCAGCTTTCTAACAGACTACTTCCTAGCCTACCCTGCAGTTTTCAGTTTTGCTTTGATTTAACCCAGCATTTCTAGAAACAACACAGGAAACTTAGAGATAGATATGTCCACTCCTGGCAGCCTCCACTTTTCTTGGCAATGGGATGGATTTTGTTTATGTTTTATATCTTATTATTTCAGCAATAATATAATCTTCCTTGTTGAATTCTGAGATAAGTCCAGATGCAGCGTGACAGTTGCACATAACATAATATTTACAATGCATGAACCATGTAATATGAGAATTACCTGTTTCTGTGCAGTGTATCGGGGAATTCGAATTCTGGAAGTGTATCCAGATGTTGACTTCTAAAATTGTGGACTTCTGTATCTCCTAGGCATTTATTCAGAAACAGTTGTGCATCTTCTCAATTCTGAGGGCCATAAGAGAGGTTACTACAGTGTTAGGGATGCTAATACACAGTTGGGTTAGGGACAGATATTTGCCTGTGGGATAGTTAGTCTGAAGTACAGGGCCAAACTATCATCCAGATATCTTTTTGTTGTTACCATCAGCCATACTGATGAGTTTGGAGTCATGTGGCAAGTGTCCCTGGTTGGAACAAAGAGCACTGGAAACGATGAGCTTAACTCAGAAAAACAGGAATCTCCAAGCTGGCACAGCCGTCTTTGGCTGCAGTCTATTAATGCAATTCCATTACTTTTCAGTGGTCACTTGTGGAAGAAATGTTTGCATGCTACAGGCTGGGGCTGTTGTGCCTGTGAATGTCTTGAATGTTGCATAATGATCAAAGCATAACTTGTTTGGAAAGCAGCTTGACAAATTTCGTCTGCACATTTTCCATGCTTTTGAGAATGAAGGGAAGAGAGTCCACTAGTGGCCCTTTAAGCAAATCTGCCTGTTACCTCTCTGCATTTTGCATTCTTGTGAGTTGTACATTATATTTCTACTGATGACATAGAGCTGCTTTGACAAAAGTGTCAAAGATGTAAATGTCTGGGACTTAACTTCCTTCACTGCCTTTTCTTGCATACTGTCTCTTTATATCTGCTAAAAACTCTGTCACTGTAATTTCTGTTAAATGTTCAGTAGGAGTTCAATGCCTTAGCCAGGTTCCAGTGATCCTAACTGGACTGATTATAAGAGCTCCGGAACTAAGAGGAGCGATCCCCCCTTGAGGTTTATTGTAGGCTTGTGTAGAGTTTTAGATTCAAAGGCAAAATGGAGCTTAAGGGGACAATCACTTAGCACCTCTCTACAATCCCTTAAATCACATTTATCATTTCTTGAGATTTCCCAGCAACTGGCAGGTATTTTGAGCTAGCAAAAACAGCAGAGAGATGTAGTGTTCATACCCCATATGCTCCAATGTGCTTTTTTGCCTTAGAATGCAAAGCACCGCACAGCCCTACTTTGTTGAATGCTGCTACTGTTACAGCTTCCCTTAATTTGGCAACATCCAGCTGTAGTGTAACTGCAAGTCACAGAATTCCCAGGCAGTATGAACAATGGAAATTTTGAGATTTGCAGTCCCAGCACACCCAGGACAGTGCTATTAGAATAATATCAGCAGAGATTCTCCTGGTGTAGGCCTTAAGTTTGTAAGAAATTATGTAGTTTTTAGTATTTCAGAATAATTTTTTTTGTTAAAATGATAGCAACCTATAAGTGAGTCAACCTTGTAATCACATTATTTTATAGACAGAAACAAAAATCTAATGCATGGATGTTTGCACGCTCACCTGTTTGTAGACAACTTTCTTTGATGTCAAGTTTAAACACAAATGGTGCTCATTCTGTATATTGCCTGCTTCAGCTCTTCAATCCAGAAATTCTCGTGGATTGGTGAAAAACTGCCTGCTTGCCAGAATCACTTTTGAAATAATCTGCTGATTAGGTTTTGCTAAGGAAGGAGTAATGTAGGGGTCTACTTCCAAATCTGATAGATTTTGTATAACTTTCTGTTTTTTTTCCATTAATCAATATTGCGAGTTCCACACAGCATAGTGATTGAGAAGTGGAAAAAGACCTATGGGATTAAAAGTTGCTTTCAATATATTGTTTTTATTTGCTGTCAAATAATATTTGCCCCTCTTTGAATAGGGTCTTCCATTGTATGACTACTACAAAAAAATAACTCACAGTGTTACTAGGTTTTACATTTGTAAAAGATAGCATGTGGAAGCCTAGAATGCCCTGCAAACATGCTAAATCAGGGTTATTTAAGGCTCTTTGTATGCTTGAGAAGTATCGTATTTTCTGCCAAAAGGTACCTACGTTAAATAAAAGAAGCAGCCAGTAAATAGAAAGTAAAATATTGTATAATTGCTCAGTAATCAGGTTGTTACTGGGTAGAATTGATTCACAAAAATCTCACCTTAGAAATCACGGGAGAGTTGAAGACTTTTACATCAATTCATAGAAAGCAAAATTCTCATCTGACCTTTTGAATGGCTCTAGTCATATATCCTTCCTATGAAATGGGGTTTTCTATGTGGTAACATGTGGCTAAGTGAAGAATATTGTACTATATACATGATCCAGAGAGCACCTACAGCATGGGGATTTAATATAAAGTCACCACTCACAAATTTATAAGCAAGCCTGTATATTAAGTGCCGAAGCACATTTTAAGTCCTGTATGTTGTGCAGAGATGTCCCATTTAACATTTGTCCAAAATGTGTGTTTAATAACTTGCGTGATGTGAAATTTGTTTCCATAGCAATGCAGGTAATATGGTTATAAAGAAATGTGTTTCTTTGGGTCTTATCTCTTGAAAGTTGAGAAAAGTTGACTTCAGTTCTCAATACATATTGGCCAGATTTTCATGCTTGAGGCTACTTTCCCTAAGAGCTCCTTTGCTCAGGTTTGTCGTCTTACATTTGACCTGTTAAAAGTCTTGTTTGCAGTCTCTTTTCTCCAGACAAAAGTTGATGTGTGCACAATTGTTTTTCAGTGTCCTCCCATTGCAAAAAAGTCTAATGTCACCTCTATGATAGAAAATGTATAGTGATCATTAACATTGGTAGCACTTTCCCTGTTGGTCTTCAAGTCCAAAGGCAGAGCAATAAAAGCATTTGGTGAGAACAGATGCTTCAGAAAGCTCAGATTTAAAGAGCTACGATTGTAGATGCTTGCAATCTTAGTTACCTTACATAGCATGACTTTGGGAAGTCCTCTAATTGTACAATTTCTGCCTATAAATGGGAAGTAATATATATGCAGGTAGCAAATAGCATATTGGAGAGAGGTTTAGATTTTTCCTCCTTATATGCTTGTTTACTATATGCATGGTGCTTTTTGAGTTGCAAAAATATGACATCTTGCCCCACCTTCTCCCATTTTGAAGAGATCCTGAGCAGGGATTTACACATACTTTTTCTAGAATGGGTCGAACAACATGTTGTAATACGTTAGATTCGTTTCATCTCTAAATTCATTGTGGAAATTCCATGAAGAAGGGAACTGCCATATCCAAGTTCTTGTGGATATGAGGAAAAGCTGCATTATTATTATTATTATTATTATTACTTTTGCCTTTACTAGCCGTATTCACAAATATATGTGTCTTCCTATGGCCAAAATCCACGCTGAACTTACTGTTCTAATTTTCAAAGAGAAGTAAGTGTTTTCATATCTTTGCAGGGAAGTCCTCATTTTCTTTGCTTAAGGTTACCTAGCTCTAGTATGTCTAAAACATTGGTCCCTAATCTTTGCAGCTTGGGGGCCCGGTTGGTGGGGGGAAGGGGAATTGGGCCACGTGCATGCTGGCCCATCACTCGCATAAGTTGACCTGTGCATGCTGGCCCGCCATTCACACGACCCGGTTGGGGACTCCCGTGTCTAAAAGACATCCAGATTGTGCTATGATTTTTTATTAGTAAATTGGGATGCTTTTATTGCAATCATGCGTCTCTCTCCATTCTAAAATTTATGCGCTGTAGGGTCAGACCAGAACAAATGGGAATGGCCAGGGTTCTGATCAGCAAGGTTAGAGATCTATTATTGTGATGTGGATGGAGCATGTACCTGCATCCTCTGGATGTTCAATACAGAATAGCAATAGAGTTATCTACTCTTAAGTTTGGCTTCATGAAAGAATAATTCTTGCGCATAGAAAACTAGTAGCCTAGAATCCTTCCTGAGGCATTAGCTTCTAAAAACAAGGAACCTACGCTGGGAATTTGGGATGGCTACAGATATATTAATGGCTTTGTACATTTCAGAAGAAAAGGAAATAGGATGATTTAGCACCATTATATGCATTTCAGGATGTGCTAGACTAGCTGTGCTGGTCCTACAAACTCATAGTAGTCCTTGTCAGCATAGCTATATCTCTTGGGAGGAAAACAAAGGCTAAGGACGGTTGCAATGATTTAATAGTGTGGAACTGATATGTGTGACACATATACTTGCTGCATAGAGAACATCCCTAGGCCAGCTAGTCGGTGTCCTGTTAACATATGGAATCATTTGCTCTTGGTCAGGCTGCATTGATGCATTCTATAATGTTGTCTACTACCTATGAGGAAGTGTGTGCAGATCGTGGCCCTTGGCCAGTGATTGTATACATCATAGTCGGGAGAAGCAGATATGATGGACATGCTTTGTTTTAGATGCAAAGTGTAATCTTACCTTTAATTTTTTTTAAAAAAGGTAAATTCCTTTCAGAAAATTAGTTTAGCTTCAGGGAAAAAAGAGGTGATTGTAGAATATTACCTGATCCTCTTCAACTCCTAAAAATTAGCATAGAGGGCTTTCTGCGGGAGACCCACCTGTTCTTGAGGTAGAAGCTGATGTCAGTATTGTGCAAATCTTTCTCCATTTCATATTCTGGAGCTAAATTATAGCTTCCGGGAGAAGTGCAGGCAGCCTTCCTTAGAAAAGCCCAACTTTGAATTGGAACAGTTTGCAGCTTCTTTATTTGGCTAAAGCAAATACGACAGTAAAAGCAAAGCACACCCTGCAATGCTAATGATGGGGTAGTCAAAATATTTATTGAAAAAGAGGAATAGAGTATTTTTTAAAAATCTTGTACCTGCCATTTATTTGAAAAAGCACATTCTCCACAGTTTAACTGCCAGTGCCAAGAAAAGATTTGTTTTTAGAAGTGTATTTTTTTTTCAGACTTAAAGTGTATAATTTAAAAGTATTACATTGCCATCTTGTAGTGATAGACCATTTACAATTGCCAATTCACTGTAACTATTATTTATTAAAAATGGAAATTGTAAGAATGCTTTCAGATCAAAGTAAGCATTTTTTTTTTTAATTTACATTAGCTGTTTCTCCCCACCACCTGCCCCTGCAACTTCTTGGATTGACTGAGACTAACTCTGCCAGTAGATTAACCCCTTTCTAACCTGAAATTCCTTGAACCCCGTTTAGTAGTTGACCTGGTTTAAAAATGTTTTTGTATGCTAACCTCTATTAATTAAAATGTTGATGGAGTTTATTTTTACCAAAGAGATGCAATTCATTATGATAAAGTATTTCAAAATAAACTTTGTTTTATAACACTTTGGAGTAATGGATTCTTTTGCCTTTTGGATAATACATCAAAACTTACACTTTATATTTTCCATAGAAAAAAGAACACCATTTGATGTGGTGATTAAGGTACTAGGCTAGCAACCAAGAGACTGTGAATTCCTTGGGGGATCCAGCTGGGTGACCTTGGGCCGGTCATTCTCTCTCTCCTAAGAAAAAGGCAATGGCAAACAACTTCTGAAATCTTGCCAAGAAAATGGCAGGGACTTTTCTAGGCACTTGCCAGGAGTCAACAATGACTCAAAGGCACACACACAACCCCCCCCCCAAACTCCTTACCAAAAAAATTTGGGGTGAAGTGGACTACACTTTCCATGTTTTGCATATTAGCTACCATGTGACACCCATATGGGAAGTAATTCTTGGTTGCATGCTTCTTGACCCTTCACTTTTCTCTTTGTCATTTGCTCTGTTCTTGCAGTTACTAAAAAGTCACTATTCACTTCCATGCAGACACAAAAGTTACATAAATTTCATTTATATAAGAAATGTGTTTCCCTTTAAAACTTATTTCAATAATATAAAAGTCAGTTTGGAGGTAACAGATGCTGGAAGAACATCTGATGGTTTCAATTGTCATTCAAGGGATCACTTCACTTTTTCCTACAATATGCTGAAATTCCATTGCAAATATTAGAGTCAAAGTTTTGTGCTTCTTCTTGCTTTTGTTTCTCATGTGGAGGAACACAGGATTGTCATAAGTAAAATGATGAGAACTTAGAAAATTAGATTAATACTAGAAGCCTTCAAAGTTTTATTACATTTGTTGACATGGTTATTTCAGCTGGCTGCTTCAGATTATGGTATGCAGTCACATGAAGCAGTGAGCAATTATTAGAGTAGTGGTCTAGAACTGGGAAATAAGTTCAAATCAACTCAATCATCCACCTTGCAAAATGATTTTTGGCCCAGTAATTTACACTTAGTTTATCCTATTGTACAAGTTTGCTGCTAAGATAATTAGAATGAGTGGACTAAGATCTATATTCAGCACTTCAAATTTCTGAATGAAAGATGAGTAAGATAAATACATCTTTAAAGGCAATGATGGCCACCTAAATTTAAAGTTTTTAGTAATGCAGTGTCAATGTCCCTGTTCTTAAGCCATATACATTCCTAGTCCCTTTCCTTTGAGATCCTTATAAATGGAGATATTGGTGATCAACACTGCAACATCCACGCAAAAGGAGGGTACCCAGCTATAACTTGTGATGGGCAATAGAGAAATCCAGAGTTTAAGCAGCCTCCTCATTGCACTCTTGTCAAATCTACAATTGAAAAAGTAGTTGGGAACGTGCAAACTTCAGTCATCTCTGAATGCTAGAGAAGGCTTTAACATCCATTCCAATTACTTGACTACATGTACATTTTATGCAAACTAAGTTGTATAAACCAGCTTCTCAACCTCAACTTGCCACCAATGTCTATTAATTTAAGTGAAGTTGCATTTTAGGAGAAGAGAGGTCGTTTATAGGTAGGTTCATGGATATCCTAAATAATATGGAAGCTTGTAGAAGAGCTTTCCTCAATCTGGTGCCTTGCAGTTTTGTTGTACTTTAGCTCCCATAATTCAGCAGCATTTTTTTGTAGGAAATAAAGTTCATTACATCTGGAAAATTCCAGATTGGAAAAAAGATGTTTTAGAAGTATTTATATTCTGCAAGAGAGGAGTCTGTGTCTATGTCTGTTTTGCATTATTTTAATCCCTAATCATATGAGGCACAACTTGGCTCAAGGAGTAAATTGTACTTGTATGGCTTTGCCTACATATACATTGCCTCCTTTAACATAAATTTATACAGGACTTGTATTCATTCAAAAATATCCTGAAACGTGGAAATAAATTGGGTGTCTGAAAAATACTCTTTCACTATCTACTTCTCTTATGTAACCAATAATAGTTGTGTCACAACTACCAGCTCACCTTTCTTTCTACAGATTCTCTTGCTAAGATTAAACTAATGAAGGCTCTCAAGGATGGAATGATACCTTTACAGAAATTTTGCTTTATGAATCCAGAAGCTTTTCTTCAACCCTGAGGCAACTGTAGTCCAAAACTTCAAGAGATCATTGCATTTCGGAAAGCTATTGAAAACAAAAAGATTTCTTCTTAAATGAGTTTGAAAGTCATTGCATTCAGAGATGCCTTTGGAACAATTTGTATCTCTTGTCAAATAGTGTGATGTCATCTCTACCCAATCATAACCTGTTTTGTATGAGCAGAAGGTTGACTCTCCAGGGAAGTATCCAGTGAATGACAGTAGCATCCCATGCAGTGGTTGCTAGGAAACCAAGCCAGCTTTCTTTCAGCAAGACCTAATTTTAAAGATTTAACTCTAGAAGAACCAGGATTCATTTCACCTAGAGTAAGATAGATAGATAGATAGATAGATAGATAGATAGATAGATAGATAGATAGAATTTTGATGCATGGGTTGGGAGAAAGAATATTGGAAATACTATTAAGAAATACTAGCAATTGGGCTGATGAAAAGGTAAATGTAAGAGATGGCTGCATAGATCCACTCCATCTCATGTATCCTTGCCATCTGCATACAAAATTCTTTGCCTTCTAAAGCAGCTGGGCATTCAATAGATATTGAGACTGAAATACCCAGGATTTTCAACCAGTGATGATGACTCATAGTGGTTTGACATTAAGTACAGTTACTGCCAGGGGATATTGGAAGAAGTTCTCAGGAAATTTGCTTCTGGCTCAATGTGATGCTCTCTGCCACTATTGTTTGTTAATGAAACCAGTTTTCTTGGTTTCTTCCATTTTATGATCAACATAACAAGATCATAACACTTTAATTCAGATCTGTTACAGCCTTCTCTTTTCTCTTTGTTTCCCAGACACAGCATATTATTTTCTTCTTTCATTTTTTAAAAATTGTTCTCTAGCTATCATATTACAACTTTTTATCTGATATGATCAGATGTACCCATAGATATTAACTTTGCTATCCATCATAATGCTGGTGAATCAAAGCTTTCAATTAATGCTTTTTAGTAAGGCAAAAAAGATGTAAACCTAAATTAACTGCTTTGGTTGTATGTGTGACACATGCAGCAATCACAACTAATAGTAAAAACAGTATCAATCAGTTTTGGCATATCTGGTATAAATACAATCAAAGTCCAGCATGCTCTAAGCATTTTACTCCAAGCATGCACATGATATTCTATGCAAGCTAGAATCATTCTAGAGTGTTTCAGGCAAGCCAACATGCTATTATTCACCTCCATTTGGGATGAGCATGCAGTAAACTGACACTCTTAAGATGATCAGAAATAATTAACAAGCAAAGTAGAATTAAAATCATTCCTATTTTGCAGACTCTTATGTGTATTATTAAATGATGAATTCACAGAATTATAATGTTGACAGTTGATGGCAAATTATGGAAAAAGTTATTTAGTAGCATTAATCTGTATGTAGAATCCCCTGCATTGAGATGGGAACATTTTCTACCTTACCTGTATTAGATTTTATTGATTGATTGAATTTATATAACTGTCCATCTCAGCTATCAGCAAGGCATCTCTTTTTAAATAACATTTCACTGCCTAATGTTTATTAAAATTATTGTTGGTTCTTTGTATTAGTTTTTGGAATTTCTTCAATTTTTTTCTTCCTGTCAATCATGTCTGATTTTCAGATTGCCTGGACAAGTCTCTGCAGTTTCCTTGGCAAGGTTTTTCAAAAGTGGTTTGCCATTGTCTCTTTACTAGGACTGAGAGAAAGTGACTGGCTCAAGATCACCCAGCTGGTTTCATGCCCAAGGCAGGATTAGAACTCTTGGTTTCTAGCTTGCTATTTTAGTTACTACACCAAACTCATTCTCTGATGCCAAAAGCCTAATACACATTTCTTAAATTCTATCATCTTTGTATCTCTTTCATTTTCTCTTCTCCACCCAAAGTATTCTGCCTGATTTTATAAAATAACAACAAACAGGTCAGAAGAGCTCTAAAAAGTATTGCCTCATTATATAGATCTGTGAGAATTTCAACAGGGAAAGCACATATTTCAGTGATCCAGTCTTACAATTACTATGATAAGAGAAACAAAGCAGCAATTCAGAACCTGGTGCCATCAGCATCTAGAGGCCTGATTTCAGCTTTGGCTGATGGCCTTTGATGATTCACAATGGCTCTTTTTTCAAAAATGGCTTTACCCAACCCCAGCCTGTTGAAAACTGCCATTTGTGAAATTCTTATAAACCTAACTGAACAGTAGAAAGAAACGTTTTTCATTGATGCATAAGTTGTACAGTTTGCACATGGTGTAGGATTTTAGCTCAGATGGCTTCCAAAATTGGAGACGGGGAAATGATATGATAGCTAAACCAAGCTTTCAGGGCCTCAGATACTCTATCCTTGAATACAAAGATGCTTAGATAAATCATAACTTATGAACCACCAGAGCCTCTTAACAACTTAAGCTTGGTGGAAAAAAATAGATACTCAGTTTGATCCAGTGAGACAAATTTAAATGTATTTCACATATTTATTTTTATTTATTTTATTTATAAGCCACAAGGTGACTCTGGGTAGTTTACAGTTAAAGGCAGTACAGTTAAAGGCAATACAAATATATGTGGCAATAAAATTATAAATAAAGGTAAAAGATGTGGAGGGAGAGGAAAAGATGTGAAGGAGGTGAGAGGTGATCTGTTATTAGTCCATCAAGCAGCTCATTTGGCATCCCCCACAGGCTCCACACCAACTTGTTTTCAGACCCTTATGGAAGGTCAGAAGGGTGGGAGCAGATCTTATCCTGAAGACTAAAACGTTCCAAAGTGCAGGGGCCATGGCAAAGAAGGTTCTTCCCTTGGATTCTGCCAGCTGAAATCCCTTGATTGGTGGGATCTGCAGCATGCTGACACAGGTGGGGCTCAAGATCACCCAAGGCCCGTCCCATCAGGATGAGGCAGTCCCGCAAATAACCTGGACCATGCCATGC